ACAGAAAAAAATTCAGCACAGCACCTCAAAGCGAGAAGACAGGGAGACTTACCTTACTCAGAGACACGCCTCATAATATTTAGGTTCGCCCAGCTGTTTGGGATCATAGTGCTTGTGCCTGCACAATGTCTAGGAGACCTGGAGTCCTCAAACAGAAATTGCAAAATTCTGCAGAGCCCAATGCCAAAATGTCAAAGCTGGAAATGATCATGTTCTGGATTCAAACTTTAATAATCCACATTCTACAATGTACTCATTTACATGTGGTGAACTGTAATGTAATGTGGTGTAAACTCTATTCCATGGTTACACCACATCTTATATGAAATGTTCATAGGAGTAGCATTTTTCAGTAACGGTAACATGAAAAAAATAATTAATTCAATTTTGGCTTCAGTAACAGAATTCAAGTCTAATTGTAGGTGTACAAGTTCCTGAAGCTATTCATGGAGTTCACCATCGTTATTGATTTTTTCAGGAACAGTCTTGGCATGAGTTATATTTTGAGGAATTTGGGCCAGAAATCCTTGGTGACAACACTTCTGTTTGAACTATAAAAATGCATCCTTCAGTGTTCCTGTCTGAGAGGAATCCACAGAGGCAGTAGAATAGGTAGTGGCAAAAAAAGTTTTAATGATACAAATGGCCATTGAGTTCCTTATTTATATTTTCAAATGGGTTTTAAGGATAATGCAAGTTTTTTTAGCTATTCAGTGAAAGCGGATAGGAAGAAGAAAAGTGCATGGATGTGATCAATGCATGGTGTATGCATAAATGGAAATATCACGATGACTCCTAAGAATATGTACAATTAATTTGTGAGATTAGAATGAATAAAAGCTAAATGCATTAATCTTCTTCAATCAAAAATAATATTTATTGGTCAATGAACATAGTATCTCCAATCTTCCGTTCCTTCTGTTTTAGTAGGAAGCATGGTGCCCTGTGTGTACTAAGGCCACAGCCATGCCACCGTAGACTTAGACGTTAAGCCAGCAGAAAGCATTTGCCAGGTGACTCAGGCCAAATCGTGACAGCCTTACTCTTCTTTGCCTTCTGAAATCCCATCTCTTTTGAGTGTCTTCAAGACTGAAAATAATGTCATGGAAGGAGCCTACTGCTGGGCTGCTCTGAGGAATAACCGGCCCAAGGGCAGTGGTGTATATAACTATTGCACCTGTTTCAAAACTTCAGTTCAGGAAGATACCAGAAGGAGAAAAGTTCTCCCAGCTTGCAAGTTCCTTAGGACATCAGGTCAGAGGCAAAGCTTTGTTCCTAGAAAATTGAACATGTGGTTCTCTCTAAAGTGTGTGTTACCCACGTGAGGATAACATGGTTAGCTGCTCTCATGAGAAGCTAATGGCCATCTTCAAGTGTCCCATCAATTCCTTGAGACTGACAACTGCCCATGTCTCAATCTTTTTTTTTTTTGCTATCGGGGATTGAACTCCGGACCTTGCGCTTGCAAGGCAGGCGGTGGAACCACTGAGCTAAATCCCCGGCCCATGTCTCAATTTTAATGGAAGCCACTTTCAAAACAAGGCAGTTGTCCCTTGGCCCCTATTCCCCAATCACTGCCCCCAAAGCTGCTGCTCCATTCACTGAACAAGGGACCAATTTTTAAAGTCACACATTATGGGATAACTTTTTAAACGGTGAACCTAATTGCCCATGGAGGCTTTACCTCATTCACACTGTCTACTCTCCAACAAAGTTCATTATCTAAGAAATAGATCGTATTTAAAATGAATGTGAGTAATACATTTAGCATGAGTGATATATTCCCACCAGGCTTCAGTTAGCAGTATTTATCTTTCCCATAAGATCAAAAGTGATATCAGTAAGTTATTTTATATGTTCACTGACTATTCTGTATACTATTCATGATGTCATTTGTACCTTGCCTATTTCTAAATTACAAAGAAGTTTTTTCACCTAAAATATGAATAATACGAGGATGCAGAAAGAGGAAAACAGCAGATTTAAGCCATTACTTCGTTGCATGGATTCCTGTGAAACAGAGGAGCTAAGAATGCTTTACTGTTAAGGTAATAATCCACTAGGAGACATACATCACTGGGTAACACTTCCAATGTGGTTCCTTTACATGTGCAGTATAAATCTTCTGATGTACAAAGGACAGAAAACTTCCAAGTGGAGGTATTGGATTCCTGAGCCTGTATGTTTTATTTGTTGTCCCTGTTTCCTCGTGTGCATTAGTTGGAAACATCCTAGGAGACAGTGCAGGGTGGAGACATTAAGTGATTTTCCATACTTTCCCAAATGGGAGGCTGAGGACTTTACAACTCAAACCCCGCCACCCTTCTGAGCCTGCAAACACAGCAGAGAAGGGTTATTTGGTATTGTCTTACATTCATAACTGGAGTCATAAGATTTGTATTCCTGCCTTCAGACTCACGGCCCATAAATCTTGAGCATGTTGAAGATTTCATGAGAAGTCAGCCCTCCCATGGTTGTCTTGCTCAGGACATCTGTATGTAATAGCTCACAAAGATATTCTAGAAGTGTAACAAGTCACAGGATATCATCCTCCTGCCATGATAACTCCCTGAAGCAGCAGCACTGCCCCTGTCTCCTCCAGCCTCCTGTTACAGTCTGTAAACACTTCAATATGAATTCAAGAATAGGTCCACCACCTGGTTCACAAGTGCAAGGTCCTGAGTTCAATCCCTGGTATCAAAAAAAAAAAAAAAAAAAGAATGCACATAGCTTGCCATTTTGTTTCAGCAAAATATCTGTTTCTGTCACTCATAACTTTGATAAAAATACCAAGAGAACCATATGTTTTCATGAAAAAAACACACCATAGTTATCAATATGTCTGCTATTAATGTAAATTATACCAGTTTACCTAGCTTGGAATTATAAGAACATCTAGAAAATTCTAGTCTTTTTCTCTTTATTTTTTGCAGTGCTGTGGATCAAGCCCAGGGCCTGGTACATGTTAGGCAAGTGCTCTACCATTGAGCTACCTTCAGCCCAGTTCTTGGGTTTTAGAAAATTGAATATTGCATGGTTTCTCTGATGAGACATCCATAATATAAATGATTTAAAGAGCAAAATAAAAGACAGATACAAGAAAAGCTTTGATTCCAAGATTAATATTTCTGCTATGAATTCAGCATTCCTTTCTTTTTGATTTTCATTAAAATAATAGAAAACAACAAAAATGACCAATGAGTTTGACTTCTTAATCTCTATAGCTGCAAGTGTATGTGGAAAACAAAATCTGTGTCAGCCAATTGTGTCATTGCTTTTTGGTGTTCACTATGCCAAACTGTCCCATGCAGATTAGCACTCTTGTTTCCAACTCTAGGAAGGTGTCCTATTGTATAATTTTTTTGGAAATAATATCTCATGCATTTTTTTTCTTCTTTACTTCCTGCAAATCCTCATCATTGAAATCAACTTTTGCAGGTTGGGGATTTGGCTTAGTGGCAGAGTGCTTGCTTAACATGCACAAGGTCCTGAATTCCAGCTCCAGTGCAATCAATCAATCAATCAATGTTAGCTTTTGGACAGAAGCATACTGCCCTAGAAAGAGATGAATACAAAATAATAACCCATAAATATCACAGTGAAATGCATTGCTTTTTTTACAATTTAATTTTATCTTTTTTAGAATTGGGATTGCTCCTAGGGTTTTCTCACTGAGCTAAACCCCCAGCCCTCTTTATTTTTTTTTTAAATTTTGAGCCCAGGTTTGCCTCAGAATTGTGATTCTCCTGCCTCAGCCTCCCAGAGGGTTGGTTGAGGAGTGAATGGTTAATCAACAAGTTTAGATTAGTGAAGCATGTGTATTTGGCTGTTGTCCTCCCTCTTTCCCCATGAGAAACTGACCAGCCTTGAGAGAACTCCATGCTCCATACTTTTCTTCTTTTCTTTCTTACACTGATAGCCTAAATAAAAGTCGGAGAGTTCTCAGCTTCAGTGCTACTCCTGGGAGTCTCCCTAATGCTGGATGGTCTCCATTGAGATAGCCTCTCCGGTCCTCTTGGTGATTGAACTAAGTCTCATCTCTGAGTAATCATTCATTCTCTGTGCCACCATGGTCACACACTGTGACAGGTTGGGATTGCAGGCCTGGGCCACCATGCCTGCCAAAGGCATGGCCTTGAATAACAAATTAGAATACTGAAGTCATAGCAGAAATATTAATCTTGGAATCAAAGCTTTTCTTACAAGAAGTTTGTGCTTGACAAAGTATTTTTTCCAATTCCAAATTTTGCATTTAAGTCTCAACAGGAAAAACCTGGAGAACCACAAACATGTAGGTTATGTCTTTAACACTCAAGAGAGCAATGATAAGATAAATGCCTCCTAAGACCTCCAAGCCTGGGGTGAAAACTGGATTGATTCTCACATTTGCATTTCAAAAAGCTAGGGGAATATCATTGAATTAGTGTCATTTAATAAAACTTATTTTAATGTAATATGACACAAGTAGATAGTTTATATAATAATACACAGTTGAATAGCTGAACAGTTTTAGAGAAAGGAATGAATAAAATCTTGTGAAAAGTTGTGGGAATATTGTATAAAAGTGAAATTTATGCACCATAAATATTTGTCTTGGCTCAAAATTATGACACTGCTTTCAGAAATTGATAAAATTAAGGTTACTCTTCTGAGAATAAAATATCTGTTTTCTGATCTATTTTTTTCTTTTGTCCGTATTTACGTACTGTTGACATCTCTTTGTCATCAAACTTAGACACTATTGTGTTACGACCTTCCCTGAAAAACTACACACACAATATTCAACTTAGGATAATGAAAATGATTTGCTAAGACATGAATCACTTTTAACTTTGTATCTAATGACAATCACTCACTCAGTTATATGGAAACTAAGCTACCTAGAGCTAATGACTCTGAATATGCATAGAAAATGGTACTTAGAAAACAAATTATTACAGTTTGAATCCAGAGTGTTTCCAGAAGTCTCGTGTGTTAAAGACTTGGTCCCCAGGTGGTGCTATTGGGAGGGGGGCTGAATCCTAAGGAGGTGGGGTCTAGTGTGAGGTGTTTAGGCCATTGTGGGTGTGGCTTGCAGGAAATATTGGGCTCTTGGGTCCTTCCTCTTCCTGTCTTTTGCTTCCTGGTCATGAGGTGAGCATCTTTGCTTTCTGATATTTTTGGTAATAGCCTGTAACCTGTACCTTCATATCCTATGTTTGGAAAGATTAAGTTTCCAAGTAAACTCAGGTTATGATGATATGCTTTTATTTTTATTATTTTTACATGTGGTTTGTTGAATTCAGTTAAAAAAGACAATGGCTGGGCACTGCAATATCTTTCAGAAACTCTAATGCTTCTGATAGCTACTGTCAATGGTGCTAAGTTGAACCCAAGACCATTTACAAGTAATTATAAACCAGTGATTTACTTCTGACCTTCCCTTTCAGTTCCTTGCAAAGTCAATTTGGGACAAACCAAGCTCTATTCTGTAGTTAGAGCAACATATTTCTTGGAATCTAAACATTATAAGTGGTATTTTAAGTAGTAATGATGTTTTACAAGCTCATTTTTTTTCCTGAAAGAAATGTATCATTTTTGTTTCCCCAGGGCCTTTTCATCATTTCATAATCAACCAGCCTCTACTTTTTAATGGATGTGTTCTTTTGGTTACATCTCCCTTTTTTGTTTTTAATTTTTTATAATTTTATCTTTCTCATTTTATCATTTTGGAGCTCTGAATATGCCATGACAGCAGAAGAAAACCAAGACAGTAAATCTCTGTTGAATCTGGAATTCATTTGTGAAAGTTTAAATACATTTCACATATACTGCATGTGATCTCAGTGTTCTCTGCTGTACATAAACTAAATGGCAGAACCATTTGCTTTAAAAAATGAACCCATCTGGCAGAATGTATACACAGTTTCCTCACTATGCACAAGTCAGAGTCAACACCCCCAACTTTCTTGCTTAAACAAAATTGAAGACTTTGTTGCATGATTCTTGTTGTCACTTGCAATCATGATTCCTAGAAGCTAAACTTGCCATTAAAATGTGTAGTGCTTTACTACAAATACAGACAACGTAAGTATCTATTTATTCTAACATTATTTTGAATGTGTATTTACAGTGCATATAATAAATTGGCCAATTGTAGTCATACTAGTTGTTTGCCCAGTAAAATTAAGGGCAAAAAATCAAGTAATCACTCCCTAAATCAGTAGGTATTCCAGATCAAATAAATAGATTAGTGAATCGAAAGTTTGACTGGTGGGTTCTGAAAAAAACATTTGTATTTTCTGCTTTCATACCTGTGGTTTACAAGACCATCCAAACAATGGTGTATCAAAGCCATAATACCTTACAATAATTTAAAGAAGCAGCGGTGTTTTGGTGACATCTATGGATCAGTAAGGTTGCTCAGGTTGAGGGACTTGGGTATGTAACTTTTCAGTTAATACACATATGTACAATGTCCTAGTTGAACAGAGATATATTTTTGTGATATGAACTTTTGTAGGATTTGACAGACTTCCACTCCAATTGCGAGAAGGATATTAATCAATTTTGGTCAACATGTTACCTGTCTTAAAGGCTTCTTTTTTCTGTGAATTAAGACATAATCTCCCACATCCACAGAAAGTGTGCTAGTCAGAGGGTACTGCCATTGCATCTGCAAATTGTGAAATGAGGAAAAACAAATTAGTCTATAATTCCATAGATTGTGAAAATAATATTTTTAAATGGAAGCGGGGGGAATAAAAAAAGTTTTTTAAGACACATAAAAGCCTAGGGCAGATGTTTCCTTCAGATCTGTACTTAAGAAATGTTAAATTTACTTCTTAAGACATGATAAGAACGTTATCAAATGGAAAATCTAATCAGTAACAGTTACAGAGAGAACATTTAATATGGGTGAGAGTATAAGGCTTTTTTTCTCATTTTAAGTCTTTCACAAGATAATTAGCAGTTTAAAGCAAAAATTAGCAATTAGTTGGGAGTTTATTATCCACATTAAAATAAATAAGTAGCAAAATCATACAAATTTCAGGGAGAATAGATAGTGTTTTGAGGGTCTTACATTATTCACGAAGTGCATATTATTATTTAAAGTTATTAAAGATGCATTATAAACAGTAGCAAAATCACTACATTTTTAGCTAGAGAAAGGAATATCTAATAATCAATGGTGGAGATATGTGTGACTCTACAAAATTAATTTTTTATACATATACCAGAAAGACTTGATTTTGGTTATATCCTACTTATAATTCTAATACAAGTTGTGGTGATTAATTTTCATGTCAGCTTGACTGGGCTAGAGGATGCCCAGATAGCTGGCTAAACATTATTCTCAGGTGGGTCCATGTGGCTTGTCTGGGAGGAATTAGCATTTGAAACATTGACTAGGTAATGAAGGTCTTCTCTCATCAATGTGAGTAAGCATCACTCAATTCATTGTTGGCCCAAATATAACAGAAAGGTAAAGGAAAGGCAAATTCTCTCAATTCTCAAGCTATAACATATATACCCCGAACATTGGAGCTCCTTGTTCTTGGGCCTTTGGAAACTGAGACTTAAACCAGTAATGGATTCCTCCTCCAATGTTCACTTGTTTGGCCTCTAAACTTTATGACATCTTTATGCTTGTTATGACATCACACTCTGCTTGGGAGTAGGTGGGTCCAGATTTGCATCAGTCCATAGCAACCACCAATAAGGAGATTTCTCCTCAGTTCCCATTGTGACTAAATGACTACCTCACACACAGGAAATCAAGGGCTTGTTCCCTGAGCATGGATCTGATGTAGAGATGGATGTTTATACAGATACCGGAAGTGCTTAGATACTGAATTTCTCTAGTGTGGTGGGCAAGTGGTCATGAAAGATGCTAGAATAAAGGATTATGGCTGGACAAAACCAAGAAAATTGCTTAAAACCTTATCCACCCCTTTAGTTAATTCACATGGGAGCACAAAAAGACTTACGTGACATGAGGTAAAAACTTAATGTCCAAAAATAGGAGATCTTTTGTTCTTTTGATGTTCAATATGCACTACAAATGCTTCAAAATACAGTAGTAAAATGTTGGAAGTTATAGCACATTAAAAACCAAGAACAAAATTGCCCCAAGATTAAGTTAATGAATCAAGAATCAATAGTGGAATATTGATCTTAAACTGAATCTAAATCTCAGTGCGTGGTGTGATAGAAATTACAAGGGAAAAAAAGCCATAATCCTTGCTTTTAACTAATTTAACAACACACTAGCAGAAGAAACACAAATTATTACACATACGCTACATAATCACTATCTAGGGACATATAAGAAGTTTTTTATATATATTAATTGCTACATTTTAGGTATACAATACATTTACATTCATCATTGGGTGTTTGTACCTGAACATGATGTATCTTAGTTCTTATTTTTTCCCCCATTACCTATGCGCTCTTCACCCCCACCACCCTTCCCTATTTACATAGTTTGTGTTTCCATTTTTTTTTTCTTTCTCATAAATTTTCCTTTCCCTTCTTCCCTATCCCCTTCCCCTCCCATCACCCCTACACCTTTGGGCACTTTCTTCCTATTTCAAATTATCAATTATTCGTTTTAATCATTTTCATCCTTATTTACACTTTCAGTTACTCACACTAGAGAAACAATTCGGTATTTATGCATGTGTGTCTTATTTATTTCACTTAAGAGTATGACCTCAATATGCATCCATTTAGCTATAAATG